AGCTGGTTAATTGTTAGATTATCTAACTTTTCTGTCTCTTGCTTACTGTTCCCTGGGTTTTGCTTGTAATTACTTCATAGCTACAGTTCATGTAATAAAATTAAATCTAAAAAATATATTTTATGATTTAAAAGATTTTTAGAAGAAGAAAATTTAACTTTAATGACCTTTGTTCATCCACATGTTCTTTCACATTCACCGGCTAACAGAGGATGGAGTCCTCTGTTACACACACACATTAGGAATAACTTCTGGGAGAAGACAGGTTTTGTAAAACAAAGTATTTTAGTTTGGAAACCATCTTTTACACACTTAAAAGCAGTCATCTTTAAGCTGAATGCAATTTCATACACATGAAAATATGAGGAATATTTAAAACATTGGCAACATTTCCCCAAGCCTACTAATTATAACACTGCAGAGTGATGTTAGCTAGGTGCTTTCAGACTTGAAGTCTCAAAGTGACAAACGAACTCTCCCACAGGGAAGAAAAACTATCCAAAGAAAGACACCTTTCCTTTGAAGGAGGAAAAATAAAGGTCTGATAAAGCAATGAACTTTAACCCTAGAGGTAAACCTGGTAGTTAAGGCCTTTGACCGTAGAACTATTATAGTCAGTCTAATGTAAATTTCTTCTGATAAAATTGTACCTAAATAGACAGTCTGTCACCTTGTCAAACTATAAACCAGTAAGAAGCACAGTCGTCATTTTGTCATGTGGAATCCATAAAGCCTAGCAGGGTAGTCTAAGGAGCTTATTTAACCAATGGCGGTTACAAGCTGGATACAGCAAACAGCACAACCTCACAATTGGTCCTGATACCCTGCAGCCAAGAAAAGATCTTCCAGGAGACTCAGGACTGGCTTCTCAAGAGAACAAAAATATAGGTTTTCTCCATGTTTTAACACTCAAGAGAAAACCCAGAGAGAAAAGTTTTATGAAGACTGAAATGGGTGGAAAGATGCAGGCATTTGCGACAAGCTAGGTATGTATTTTAATTATTTCCTGAAATGATCTAGACTAGGACTTCAACTCCTGAATGTGAACAGCATCCTTGAAAAGAACTGTACTTAATATCAGATCGTTTTTATTCTAGTTAAGGAAGTTCATAAAATATCACTATACAGTTAGGTCAAGGAAGAGAGTACTAACAAATGTTTTCTTTATAGAGTAAAACACAGATTTCTCTGGAAAAAGTATGACCAGATTAAAAAAAAAAATACCCTGGGACAGATTTTATTTGTGTATGTTGAGCAAAAAAGCAAGACAAAAAGGATACAGATTGCATGATTCCACTGACATGAAATTCAAGAAGTGGTGAACAACCATGTTGACAGAAACAGAAGAGCAGTTAAGGATGGAGGTAGGGTGGGCCAGAGGGCATGGAGGGGGCATGGACAAACCTTCTGGACGAAACTGGTGTAACCTCTGTTAAAACCCACTGAATTCACATTTAAGGTCTGTGCAATTCACTGTAAAGTATATTTTATTTAAGAAAAGTATACCACTCTCCAAACTTCAAGAAACTTTTACTTGAAATTCCTGTTTGTTGAAATTTCTTATCAAAAATACGATGAGAAAAAGAGACTTTGAAATAGTCCTCAGAGTTTTCTCCTTGCACAGGTGCAGTTACTGTTTTGTGGTTCAGTGTGGACTGCAAGGCCTTGAGCTGGGATCCCGGCTTAACTGGCTGACTGAGTTAGCACCACAGAACTGCTCTCTGTGCCTCAGTTTCCTCAAAGGTGAAATGGAGATATACTGGTGCCCATTTCACAAGCTGATCTTGATTAGGTAACAACAAAATACTTAGGGTAGTGAGCACTATGTAAGTATCAGCTACAATTATCACCAGCTACAGAATTTACGCGTGAAGACGTGCTGCCCTGGTAATTCAAAACCAGGCTGGACCTCAAGAAGAGTAAAATTCACATGGACAATCTCTATTCCTATCCATGTAATTATTTACACAAAACCTTAAAATCTTTTGGTTTTCTTTTTACATAAGAATGAGACTCAAGTGATTCAGGAGCTTTTCTATTTAATTCTTTGAAAAATTACTGATGCTTATCTGAGGCTGATTCTTGCTAATTTTCACCTCAGAAAACTTCTCAGTAAGAATGAGAAATATGGGTGGGGAGGGAGAAGAGTGAGAAATATACACAAAGGTTAAAGAAAAAAACAGATAAACCATTATTTTTAATGTACAAATATTTAAACTTGTATTTCAAATTTTTTTTATTCCTCTAGTATTAAAAAAAGAGAGAGAAATACTCTATAATTCATACTAAAGGCAGTTTATGGAACATCACGGGTTGATAAGTGGGAGCACATTATTTCGGCTCACGGAGGCAGGACTGAATGTTCTGTCTCTCCAGACAGCCCTTGGCACAGGGACAGCACTGTCCTGAGGAGTGCCTTACAGTGCTCAGATTTCTTTAAGGAAATGATGGTTTAAAAATCTGTGTGATCACTTCTCGGCCTCTGGCTACGATCAAGTGTCAAAATCTCAATGAGGACTTGGGGGAGACCACCTGACTGTTCCCATCCAAAGCAGCAGCAGAACAGAATTCCTTTACCTCCCATGCCATTCTGCTGAATATTTTTGAAGTTATTGTTATTTCAGAAAACTGGGGTATCAAAAAGAGAAATTCAGGGAAAATACTTCCTAAAAATTCAGCAGGAGCTGACCCAGTTAGTTCACCTCTAAGATTTTAAGGAAACAATGGTCAGCAAACACAGTGCACCACGTGCACAGCCACAGTTACTCTAGAACGATTCATGCACTGAACCTCGGTACTGGTTTTCTCTGAACAAATGAAAAAACGAAAGATTATAGGGCCCTCCCTGGTGGCACAACGGGTTAGGACGCTGCACTGCCAGCTGGCGGCAGCCACGTGAGTGTGAATTCGATTCCCCAGCCCTGGAGGTGACCCACACGGCACAGTAGACCAAAAGAGCAGTGTTATTTCGTCAGTCAGCCTGTTCTGCTCCCCTCTCTGTCTCTGGTGAATCCTCTCACTGACCTGCACTTCTGGCTTGTACCCCAGTTCTGTATGAATAAATTAATTAATTACTTTTAAAAAAAGATTATACTTAATCTGCATTCTCTAATTTTCTATACTATATATTGAGGTATTTTCCAAACGTTTTAAGTACTGGCAAGTATGGGGGAAATGACCAATCTGAAATCAATGCCAATCATGAAATCTCTTGGAACAAACCAAGTACAGAACAATAAACTGGACCTCTCTGGTGGTGCAACAGGTCAAAGTGCAGCTCTGAGGAGCCAGCAGCAGCCGTTCCTTGGCTGTGGAGCTGACCCACAGGGCGCAGCAGGCCTCTCCTGTCTCCTCACTGCTCCCCTCAGCAGTGTACTTCGTCAGTCGATCTGTTCTGCTCCCCACTCGGTCTCTGGTGAATCCTTTCACCACCCCTGCACCTCTGGCCTGTACCCCAGTATGCATAAACAAATCTTAAAAAAAAAACCAACAAAACAACAAACTAACAGACAGACTTTGCTTCGGAAAAAGAGATTTTTTTTAACAAGTATTACACCCATTTAAGTCTTAAAAATAATTTACTAAATCTGCTTCACAATTATGTCCATATGTATGGCACGCCTGCATAGAGAAATAAATGACTGATACTTTGGAAACTTAACATCGTTTTTGCCTCCAAAAAGTCCTGTACACCTGATGGTTTCTTTAAGACTGATAATTGTGTCTAAAAGTTCCATTTACTTTTTAAAAAGATTTATTTATTTATGCATACAAGAACTGGGGTGTAGGCCACAGGTGCAGGGGTTGAGAGGATTCATCACAGACAGAGTGGGGAGCAGAACAGGCAGACTGACTGAAACACTTAACCCAGTGTCAAAAATCGCATGCTCAGAAGTAAAAATTAGAACAGGCACCCCAGAGCTGATATGGACATATGTATACAAATGAACATGTATTTGTAAATATTCATTTACATTCCTTTTTTTAGTTTAATTAATACACACATCATATAAATAGAGAAAGGTCTAAATACAGAGGTCATCATCTTAATAAGATAACCAGTAGTTTCAAGGCCTGGAAAATGCAGCTGACCATGTAAAAACATCTCACACAAGAAATCAATAATTTTCAAAGCTGGTAAAACTTAGTATTGATGGTACGTATTTCCTCCCCCTTTTCAGATTGAAGCAAACAGGTGGGTTGACAGTGGAGAAAAATATTTAAATACTAACTGGCTTACTATTAAGCTTACCTTACTGCTTTGAAAAACTGATTTCTTGTGTGTTTCAGTGGGGAGCTGCATTTCCTGTCTCTGCCACTTCTCAGCGGGAATTCCAGTCTGATGAGGAATCAGTAAAAGGAACCCTTACTGAGAGACACACTGTAGCATTCGCTGAGTGAGACAGTGAAAGAGTCACATGTTTCTGAGGGCAATTGAGACTATTTACATAGATATTCACACAGCATCTTACCACCCAAGCAGAAGCAACAGTTTCTATTGAAAACTGTCTTTTTGGTACATAGTATTTGATTTTACCCTACCTGCCTCTTTGGGATGCTACTTCATCATTGAGCTTACCTTTTAAAACAAAACAAAATTTGGCAAGCCTGAGTTCGAGGCCACATTTCCTAATGAGTGAGGTAGAAACCTTTATGCTTTTTTTGGTATCATCTTTATCATGGTTATCACTTTTTAACCATGTGACAATCATATCTGGGAATAGCGCATGATCTATAAATATTTTTGTTAAACAAAATTTTGAAATGAGCATTGAATACTATCAAGAAAGACACATTTTCTAAAATGTCTTTAACAGCAGCTCACAAGGAATAAAATAAAATAGAAAATCCAGTTTCTCAGATGTAACCCTTGTGACTGGTGGCCACAGCATTGGATAGCACAGCTCTACAGCTTTTCCATTGCTGTGAAAAATATGACTGGACAGCGAAGTTTAGCCAAAATACCTAAAGAGAGAAAGTTGTTCCAACTGGAGCCTTACCTGGCCTGAGGAGGTGTGGGTGTGTAAAGGGGCTGGGCTGGCCCAGGTAGCGGCTTGGGATCCTCCTCTCTGGAGTGGGCTGGAGGGAGTACCTTCGCCGGGCCCGGGACGTGCATCCTGGAGGAGAAACAGGATCAAACTGGACAACGGATCTCAAAGTTGTCACAGCATATATACATTTACCTACTGCCAGCAGCTGGGTGATTTAGAAAAACGCAACTTCCATTTCAAAGTCTGGTATGTTCCTTCCTCTCTGTGTTAACCAGAACCTACATTGGGCCCCACAAACACAGGATGAGCTGCTGTCTTGGAGTCCTGTTAATCTTCTCAAGCGGAACAGTGGTTTCTCTACACACAGCGTGACTAAGGAGCGGCGGCTCAGCAGGAAGGCTGGCGTGATCTGGGAGGTCACAAAGAAATAAGGGGGGAGAGAGGCTGCGTGAGGGGCTGGATGGGGCAAGACAGGCCATGAGTTGAAGGCTGTTTTGTTTTCATCCAAAAAGATGCCATAACTTTATTAATGATAGAAACAGCACAAACTTCAAGGTATAATCACTTTTGAAATGCCAAGGACAAAAGTCACCTGTCCATGGTGGCAGTCAGTTCCACTGCTGTTGCTCTTCAGAGCCCCATCTGCCTATGTCTGGACACCGTCACTGTGACAAAACCAACTCTATATCCCTAACTTCCACACCCGTTTAATCAATCTCTCCCGCTGTGCATTCTCCTCTTGTAGGGTTGGGACTCTGTGTTTTCTTGAATATCTGAGACAGGTTCAACCTGACCTTTGAATTTTTCAGAAGTGGCTATGGTGCTGGCTGACATAAATCCTCCATCTGTGCGTCTCCCAGAACCACATAGGATCTGAAGTTGAGCTCTGGTAAACATCTGGTTCTGTGGCAACAAAGAGGATATCCTTCTCCAGGTATGGGTCAGCGATGCAGGCCGTGCCTTCCTTTCACCCTGGCTGTCTGGTTTCACCAACCTGCACGCGCAGGCTGCGGCTGCTGCGGCCAGCGGGTCTCTGTGCTTGCCCACGAGGACCCCTGCTCCTGAGCTCCGGTCTGATTCAACACTGTCCTGTTCCAGAATCACCTCAGCCTGGGGCTGTGGTAGCAGGGAGTCTGTGGCCTCACCAGGCATGTTGTGAGGGAACCAACATAGCCCATTTGCTGATTCCTGAAGTTGGGTGACAAGCACAGGAAGTTCTCTCTAGTGGTATATGAAATTTCCCTTAGTAAAAAGTAAAGCAAACAGATAAACAGAGAAAAATACAGGAAATAAGTACTCTGGAAGGCCATCTGACGTGACCTTCCACAAAGTTTGGTCCATTTAATTTTTTGGTTAAATGAGCCTTGCTGTTCGTGTCTCCTGAGAGTTAGAGAAGGCACAGTGAAGAGATGACAGCGGACTGTTCATGCACAAGAACATTCTGGTGGGGTGATTGGGACGAAGTTACCAGCACTACATCAGCTTTTTCACCTGTAAGCAAACCCTGTCTAAGTCAAAGTCCATACAATAAGGGACACAGCTTCTTTTTAAAAAATGACAGTCGTAGAGTGTATTTGGTGCTTTCAGATGCAGCTGGTCACTGATGCTAAAGCTCAAATGACACTAACGTTTATGTACGTTCCCAAAAGTATTCTATGCACTCTGCGTGTGTTAACTTATTTAAAGCTGTGTGAGGTATTATTTTTTAATGTTATATTTTTAAGCTTGTAACATACTCATATGGATCAAATTTCAAAAGATAAAGATTTCCAGGGAGCCATGTTCTCTCCTAACTGTTCCAGTTACCCTGCACCCCTTCCTTGAGACAGCCAGCATTATATCTCCTTTGTGAAACCAGCTCTATTTGTTCTGTCCTATTCTTTACAGAGTTGAAACCTGCATTTCAGGCAACACTCCCATTTAATGAAAAAAGAGCCTTAGAAAAGGTTCAGTAACACCCAGCTGCATAACTGAGGTGGAATCATGGTTTGAGCAGCTGGGTTCTCAGTGCCATAACCAGTTGACTGCACTCTCTACACTTTAGCGGCGAAGTGACTGAATGTAAAAACTTACGCAGTCTACATTCAGATGAAATAATACTAGAACAGATGTTAATATTTTTTTTAAAGGATTTTTTTAAAAAGATTTATTTTTTATTCATACAGAACTGGGGTACAGGCCAGGGATGCGGAGGGTGATAGGATTCACCAGAGATAGAACGGGGAGCAGAACAGGCAGATCGACGAAGTACACTGCTGAGGGGAGCAGCGGGCGGGTCAGGAGAGGTCTGCCAGCCATGTGGTCACCTCCGGGGCAGGCGGGATCGAACTCATGCGGAAGTGGCTTTAGCTTCTTAGTGCTGTGCTTTAACCCGCTGCGCCACCAGGGAGGGCCCCAGATGTTTTGAGACAAAATTTGAGATGTTTCCAGTAAATTAACATATAAAATCTTGATAAACTTTAATCTGCATTCATGTAATTGAGGTTGCTTGCTGAAAGTCCTATTAGCAGCAAAGCAGGTATTCAGGTGCTATGCTAAAATATCCAGTTCAATTCAGAGGATCATTTCCTTCCGTTCGTTCTTTCAACCTCTTGAAATGCCTGGACTAATTGGTGTGTTTGTGTGGGGTCTTGTCTCTTGTTATCCCTTGTAAGCAACACTATTACTATTTCCAGAGTGTCCCCCTCCCTCTGCATCCTTTGCCTCAATCTCTTCAAAGGTATTCTTGACCAAATCAGGTAATTCCTGTCTCTGTCCTTAACGGCCAGCCTTCCCACAGGAACAATATTTGCTTAGAACTTTCTGTCTTTCAAAATACATGTCAAATGCTAGTTTGACATCTATTATGATCTGGTCTCTGCTCACTCTTCTGGCCCATTTCTCAACAAAACACAATTGCAGCCACACTTAATCATCTGATGAGCCCTAGTGAATCAGTCTGTTACAGAATTTGTCTTCAAAACTGCAGTTCTACTGGCCCAGACGGTCTCTGCTTCTATGCTGCCTTAAAATTTTTTTTATTTATACATACAAGAGCTGGGGTACAGGCCAGAAGTGCAAAGGGTGAAAGGATTCACTAGAGACAGATTAGGGATATGCTACCTTACTGCTTAAAATGTTCAGCTTAAACTGGGCCCTCCCTGGTGGCCCAAGGGATTAAAACATAGTACTATGAAGCTATCTGCAGCCACTGCAATAGGAATTCAGTTCCCAGGCCAGGGAGCTGACCCATGTGGCACAGCAGATTTCTCCTGTCCCACCTGCTACTCCCCTCAGCAGTATATTTCTGTCAGTCTGCCAGTTCTGCTTCCCACTCTGTCTCTGGTGAATCCTCTCACACTCCCACACCCCTGGCTTACACCTCAGCTCTTGTATCATAAATAAATCTTTAAAAAAAAGAAATGTCGGCCCTTCCTGGTGGTGCAGCGGGTTAAAGCACAGCACTAAGAAGCTAAAGCCACTTCAGCATGAGTTCGATCCCCACCGGCCCCGGAGGTGATCCACATGACCCGCCAGCTGCTCCCCTCAGCAGTGTACTTCCTCAATCTGTCCTGTTCCCCACTCTGTTTCTGGTGAATCCTCTCACCACCCCT